GCGCCCCAACCGCGCCCCGCCCGGGGTCCCCAGGTGAGTAGGGGCTGAATGTGGCGGGAGAGACCGCCGGGCGGGCGTGGCCGGGAGGGAGGTGGGGCCAGATTCTGGAACATCGGCCCTGGCCGCCAGAGCCGGCCCTCTCCATCCAAGGCACTCGGACTGTGGGTGCCAGAGCCACAGGAGGTGGGGCTGAGGGCTGGCGGAGCCTGTCCCCCGGGGAGCGCTGAGTCCCGGAGGTGGTCGTTTCTGGGGAGGGGGCTGTGGGGCTCATCCCACCTGCCCCCTTCCTTACAGCACTTGCATGGCGCTTCCCACCTTTTCACTCCTTCCTCTCTCCCACACACTGCATTCCTCCTCCTTTTCCCTTCTTGCTCTCCTCCATTCTCCATTCCATCCTCTACTTCCCTCTCCCAGCCCCTAGTGAGCCTACCTCAGGTCTGAGGATCTGAACCCAGATCCTCTCCGGATGTGTAGATTTTGTTCTACACTTCTCAGTCCTGATTCTTTTGAGCTGTCCCAGGGGGGTGTCCAACCTCTGGCCTGCAGGAACAGAGGCCAGGCTGTGACTGTGTGACCAGCAAGGTGTGTGATGTGTGTGTGGGCGTGCACACGGGTGTGAGTGCAGGAATGGCACCCAGGCATGGACTAGGACATAGGGCAGCTGGGAAGGGTGTCTGGGTGCCATGGGGCAATCTGATGGCTTTCTTCCTTCCCTTTGCCTCTGGCCCTCCCTGGGGTGGACTGATGTGGTGGGTGTGGGGGCAGGAGTGGGTAAAGCCTGCCTCATTCCGAGATTTCCAGAGAAAAGGATTCTACTTTATCCTTTGGCTTTGCCTTCTTGATCCATGACCTTCTTTCAAGGAAACTGACTCTGATATCTGACTCAGTCTGACCTCTTTCCACTGGCCATGTTCTCTGAGGAAGAACATATCAGACCAATAGTATCCATTTATGTTTCCAGATGGCTGGAGGGTAGGGCTGTGGTTTTAGCCTCCATGAACCCAAAATGAAGCAGAGATGGGGCTTGCCCTGTGGTGATTTGATGACCAAAGCAGAGGCAAAGCAGGCAGTGTGGTGCTGGTCAAGAGCACTGAACTGGAGTCCAGAGGTTGTGGTTCACCCTGGGCCTTTAGGCAAGTCACTTTCCCTTCCAGGGCCTCAGTTTCCCTTCTACCAAATAATATTGAACATTCTTCCTTTCTCCCAGGGTTGGTGTGGGGATCAAGAGAGACACTAGTTATAGGAGCATTTTGCTAACTTCTAACGTAAGTCCAGATTCTTGAGGGTATTTGACATGCCCAGGTCTGTACTGAGGTGTGACGTATGGGAGCTGTGAGACTTGGTACCTGCTCTGACTCCAGTCTTGCTAACACACGGGAAACATTTGGCAAGTCATGGCCCTGCCTCGGGGAAGACAGCAGACCTGGGAGTTTCAAGGTAGCTTGACTGCAGAGGTCCGAGGGCTGTCTGAGATACAGCTCAGGTGGTGGGGAGTCAGGGGGCCTTTGGGGGGAGTGGCAGTGTGGGCAAAGGTTTAACATGGGATGCATTGAGGAGAGCCGCTGGCCAGAGCAGTGTGCAGATGGAATGAGGCAGAATAAGAAGTGGTTGCCCTGGGTACCGTGGTACAGTGGGGCAGGTTGGAGAACCTTCAAAGTCCACAGAAGAGTTTGACTTGATGGGACGCAGTGGTGTGGGCAGGAGGAGTCATGGAATGCTCTTGGGCAGAGAAGTGACAGCTGGACCCTAAGAAAGAAGATTTGTCCTTTATGGAGCATTGCAGGTGGCCCTCTGAGCACGCCAGGCACGAGTATACAGGGAGCTGGTGCAATGCCTCCTGTGTGCGGGCGAGCTTCTGTGTTGTGACTCAGCCCACGCGTGTGCTTCAGTGTGCCGAGTGGCTGCATGCCCCAGATCCATGCTGCACGTGCTGGCCAGTGAGGGTGCTGGGCAGTGGCGGGTGGGGGAGGTGTATGCGTGTTGTTCGTGGGCATGTGTGTCAGTGTGTGCATGCGGGGCCGTGGGGCCTCACAGCATGTGTGTGCACGCCCGGGCGTGTGCGTGTGCGTGTCCCCCACCCCCAGGCCTGCCCCGTGCGTGCGTGTGAACTGCCATGTTGATTTCGTGCTGTCTTTCAGAATCACTATCAGTGACCCCTGAGGAGCGTCAGCCATGGTAGGTACATGCCTCTCGGCCTGCTGCATGAACGGTGTGTCTGCCCCTGCTGCACCAGCTCCATAATGGGGGGGCGCACCTGGGACCTCAGAGCCAGGCCCCCCCTCTTCTGCAGCTCCAGACTTATTCTTTCCTCTTTCTGTCTTTGCTGCCTCTAAGAGCTGGCTCTTACCTCCCTTCGCAGAGAGCCTCGGGACTCAGTGCCCCTGACCAAGACCCCCATGGCTGAGCCTGGGGAGCTCTTGGGACAGGCTTCGCACCCAAACTGGCAGACATGGGTGCCCTCTGGAGCCGTCAGAGAGGGCAGAGAGCTCATGGTTTATGGTGTAGGGGCGGAGAGTGTGGAGGAGATTGTGTGTGGGGCTGGACTCAGGCAGGCAGAGGCCTGGGAGGTTCACCCTGGGGCTGCCACACTCATTCCCCAATCTGAGCTGTGCTGCTGGGGCAGCGCAGCCAGCTCTCAGCCTGAGAGCTCTGGGAATTGAATCCACGATAGGGCCGAGGAGGTCAGAGTCCCACCTCCTCTATGGTGCCAACGACTGAGCAGTGATCTGGGGTGAAGGCTCTGCTGGTTCGATGATTTCTGAAAGCCTGAGGGTCCTACCCACACCGTCGGCCCAGAGCACACCTCACAGGCGAGGCAGAGTCACACAGCCCTTCCCCTACCTCCTGGGTGTTGTCACTCCTGCTAGTGCACAACTGAAGGCAGCGTCTTCGGCCCCAGGTGAAGCACCATAGCCAGCCCGTGGGCTCATGGATCTGGGCCTGTAGCTCCTAGGGGTGACCTACACTTTTCAGCCAGGAGGATGACAGTGTCTGCTGACCTGGGCAGGTCTACTTCTCTGAGTTCTGCCCCAGCTGGGCCACAAAACTCGCCCAGCGAACCCACCTGCCACTGACTCTTGCTCTTCTGCTTTTCCCCAGCAGGAAGGGCCCAGCCTCACCTACGCGACCTGCGGTCCCCCGACCAGCTGAGGCTCCCCTCTTAGACTTATAAGCCTGTGGCCAAGGGCATCCAGCTGCCTGCCTTCCCTGCCTCCCCAGGGTCCCATCAGAGGACACCTGGGCTTTCTGCCCACCCAGAGGGGCCTCCAGTGCTCCCTCCAGCCATCCTCTTAGCTTTGCCCTCCTGGTTCAAACAGTGTTCTTTCTCATGTCTTTCTCCATCAGGCCTGGTGGCTGTTGCACAGGGCTCACAGCCCCATACTCCCTGGGGCTGGGGGCGGCCCTGGGCCAGTGGGTTGAAAGACAGGGAGCCAGAGAAGAGGGAAGCCAGAAGGGGCCGAGCACGTGTCTGGAGCTGTGGGTGCACTGCCTGGTGGTGTGTGAGAGACCAGAGTGCGTGGCAAGGGAGGGCCGCCCAGCCTCCATCTTCCACCCCGTGAAGTCTGTCCCCTTGCCCCTCTCCAGCTCCTCCCTTCCACCTTCCCTTTCTTGCTACCTCCTCTATTCCAGAAACCTCACCCAAACCCTCACCGCGTCTTTGTCCCCTGCCCCACCCCTACCCCCACCTCGACCACCGGGCTTGGCTGCTGTTGCCTTACCACCTCTCCCCCTCCTTCTCTCTCCATTCTCTCTCTCTGCTTTCTCTCCAACTGCCAGCCGATCGGGTCAGGCAAGTCCATCCCGTCCTGAGAGCCCCAGGCCCCCCTTCGACCTCTAACCAGATCCCTCCTATTCCTCGGAGACCTCCCTTTCCAAGCCTACCTGGACGGCTGTTCTGTGACTTGACATTGGCTCCCCAGCCCCAAAGCCTCCCCCTTCATATGTGACTTAGTCTGTCGTAGTGGTGAGCTGACATCCAGGCGTGACTTTGGTGAAACTTGTGCCCCCTGTGGTGTTGCTCCTGCCCCGTTCTATAAATATCTATAAATACTCAGATATATATACACACATATATGGCCGCCACAGCCTTGCCTCTAGTGTCGGGAATCAGTCACCATGCTGTCCTTGAGGAGTCTTGTGGCCCACCTACAAGGGAACACTGTCACCCTGACATCCCACTCCAGAGCGTGCCACCTCCGATGAGCCTCCCTGTCATGCCCAGCCTGTGGACAGACAGCCCCCCTCTGCCACCTTCCTGTCCCTCCCCGCTGAGCATGGGGGTGCTGTACTGGCAGCTGTGTGGTTCTCTGACCACCAGCAGTCTCGCTGTCTCTTGGCTGAGAATAAAACCTATTTCTGGACGATGGGGAACAGTGTGTCCTCTGCTGGCTTGTGTTCTCCGTGGAGCTCAGGGGGAAGTGAAGGTTACCTGACGTGCCGGGGTGGAGAAGGGCCCAGCCACTGCTAGGGTGCTGTAAGGAGTGGTGAACAAAGGCCCCATCCTTCCCAAGGCGCCCTGGAAAAGCACCTGGAGGTTAGCCTGTCCTCATCTTGTGAAGCCTGTTCCAGCCACTAGGGGGCAGGGGCACCAACTCAGCCTGCACGGAGGATGTGGGGCTCCGGGTCGGGCACCGTGGAGGGACAGGACAGAGGGACAGGAGGAGGAGGATGATGGAATGGAAAGCCTGCACTGGAAGCCAGCAGTCTTGGGTGCTAGCACCCTGCTTTCCCTCCCAGGATTAGATCAGGTTTCTGAGTTTGTCGGCCGTTAGAGCCGGACTGCCCCTCAGAGCCCCACGGTAGTCCCCCTGGATTCCCCGGGCTTCACCACGCTGCGTGCGGGTGACGGGCCTGGAGACCTCTCAACAGCCCCGCGGGACATGCTCAGATACGAGCATCCAGAAGCCTGTCCTCTGCTGGCAGGACCCGCCCCTGCTCAGTGGGCACAGCACAGGCTCCAGGCCCCAGCGACAGGAACAGGAAGAAGCAAGGCCAAGCAGTATGGCTAAATCCATTTATTTCAAAATAAACAGGAGTAGAATCACCCGGGAGCAACCCCGTCCCCGCCTCCTTCCTCTGTCCTATGCTATCAATAAATCAATAAATAAGTTTCCCCACCCCCAAATATTTAATAAACCTTTTCCCCATTTGCCAGCTCCAACCTCCGCTATGATACAGGGAGCTGCCCCGCCTCCAGAATATACAAAATGTTACAGAGATACAGTATATACACTGGGGAGGGAGCCCATCGCCACCAGCTTGTGCCCTTGCCAGGCCTCAGTGAGCCCCAATTGTCCCAAGGCCTGTGAGAGTGCTGCCCAGTTGTCTGTCTGGACGAGGGGGGCACATGTGCCCCAAAGTGCCTCTGAATAGAGGATACCAGAGTCCCTCTGAATGGAGGGCTGCTTGGTGGGGGGTGAGGAGGTCATCAGGGAGCTCCTGCTCCCCAAGAGAGGCAGCCTGCTATATAAACTACCTTGATTGAGCCTCTGGCTCTTTATTTTTCTGGAACTATTAATAGCCCAGAAATTAAGACAGCCCTGGCCAAGGTGGCAAGGGGTCTGCACCTATTTGTCTCCCCACATTAGATGGGGGGGCTCATCATCTTGTCTCCCCGCATTAGATGGGGGCGCATCATTTTGTCTCCCCGCATTAGACGGGGGGCTTATCATACCCGTTCTCAGGGGTCTTATCTTGCTAGTCTAGGGATAAAAGGGCGACTGGGGAAGGATGACCAGGGACGGGGTGGCAAGGATAGGGTAGGGGCAGAGCCCCCGGCCCCACTCCTGCTCCCCGAGAGAGGCAGCCTGCTATATAAACTACCTTGATTGAGCCTCTGGCTCTTTGTTTTTCTGGAACTATTAATAGCCCAGAAATTAAGACAGCCCTGGCCAAGGTGGCAAGGGGTCTGCACCTATTTGTCTCCCCACATTAGATGGGGGGGCTCATCATCTTGTCTCCCCGCATTAGATGGGGGCGCATCATTTTGTCTCCCCGCATTAGACGGGGGGCTTATCATACCCGTTCTCAGGGGTCTTATCTTGCTAGTCTAGGGATAAAAGGGCGACTGGGGAAGGATGACCAGGGACGGGGTGGCAGGGAGGGGGTGGCAGGGATGGGATGGCAAGGATAGGGTGGGGGCAGAGCCCCCGGCCCCACTTCTCCGGGCTTTGCCTACTCGTGTCAGGCTCAGATCACCATGACCTTCACTTCGTCGTTTTCATCGGCCCGGTAGAAGAAGGGGATGCAGGGGTTGTTGCCCAAGCCTGGGTACTCCTGGGGATTCTGAATTTCACGCAGCAGCTGCATGATCTGCTGCGCAGTGAGGTTCTCAGGGTTAGCCTGGCCCAGCAGGGCCTCTCCCTGGGTAGGCTCCACATTGTCGGCGAGGCTCACCTCGTGGAGATCTTTGGAGAGAGAGTGGCAGCGCTCTGAGCGATGTGCCGGCTCTCCCTTGCCTGCCCTCCCTCCCGAGGACTCTACTCACCATCCTGAGCAGTGTTTTGGCTATCGACAGTGCCAAGCTCCTGGGCAGCTGAGGGTGCTGCAGGGGCCTCACCAGCAGGGTTCTGGGCGGCTGCCACAAACTTGCCATACCATTCATTACGCTCATTCACCAAGCGTAACACCAGCTCCTGTAGCTCCAGCAGCTTCACCTGGAGGGAGAGGCACTCAACACCCCCACCCCTGCCCTCACCCCGGCCCCTGCCCACAGAGATGGTCAGAGCCCCTACCTTCATCTCCTCCTTGTCCCGAGCCAGCCGGCTAATGTATGCCTCCTTCTCCCGGTGCCGCTCCTTCAGCACTGCCCTCTGATTCTGGTAGAGGGCAATGTATTCTCCTGCAGGAAGGGAGGGCAGGCAGACAGAGCTCAGATGCTGGGGCTCCCGATCCACCACATAGCTCCCCCTGCCCCAGGCCCTGGCCTCCTGCTCACCAATGGTGTCTGTCTCTCCAGACAGCTGGATACAGCGATGCTCCAGCTCCTCCACGCGATCCTTCAGATCCACTTTCTCTTGCATCAGCTCTGTAAAGCGGTTCTGCAGCCCGGAGAGTGGGGTCAGGGGTCAGGGCTCAGCAGTGACCGTCCCGCCTGCCCCTACCCTTCCTGGCCCATGTCAGGGAGACTCACTCACCTGCAACTTGTCCATGGCCACCTGAAGGGCCTGGTGGGTCTCCCCAGGCACACTGTCGCCCCTGGTCCCAGGGGCTGAGGCCTTCTCCAGCTCATGCTGGGTTGAGGCTGCCAGGTGAGCCAGGCGCCGGCAGCGCTGCTTTTGCTCCTTCAGCTGCCCGCGCAGCTGTGCCTGCTCTTCCTCAGCACTGGCTAAGGCCGAGTTAAAAAATGCCACCTGCGGGCAAGAGGTGCAGACGTGCTTTCAGGGGAGGATACACAGGAGGAGGCGCAGGGAGGCGGAGAGGCCCTCAGGGGGCCTGCCTGGGGCTCAAGAATGGCGTGGTGTCCGACCACTGGCTCCCAGGAGGGATGGGTTGGGGGTCAAGAGAAGTCAGAGGGAGAGAAACCAAGAGGTAGGAAGGGTGTCCAGGAGGCAGCACAGACGGAGGCAGGAGATGGGGCAGGGAGGCAGCTCACCATGGCCTCTTGGCTCTCTAGGTACTCCGGCATGCTCAGCTTCGGCCGGGGAGCCTCCTCCTCCTCCTCTTCGCCATCCAGTCCATCTCCTGTGGGGGCAGCCAGAAGGTCCTCAGACAACCCAACAAGGGAGGAAAGGAAGAAAGCTCGGGGCCCAGCTCTGACCCTGCCTCACTGTGCAACCCTGGGCCAGCCAGGCTCCAGAGGAAAAGAATTCACTGTCCTAAATGTCTCTTCCAACTAAGTTCTATGAGGCTAAAAGTCTCCCTCATCCTTGGGCTGTGTTCTCTTCCTCTGGGCAGTCCCACTTACCTTCCCCAGGCACAGCCATGAGGCTCAGCTGGGCCTGTAGCTGCTGGTTCTGCTGGTTAGCAGCTTCTAGGCGCTCCTAAGGGGCCAGGAAAGAGTGAGAAGGGAAACGGGCCGCAGGCCTTCCCACTCAGGGGCCCAGCATTCAAACTCTCTCACCTGGGTCTCCTGCAACTCTTGGCGGGTGGTCTCGGCCGCCGCCTGGCCCTGAATTTCCTCGTGCTGCAGCCGGTCCATGATGTGGGTCTGCACCAGGACCTGCTTGTGGAGCTCCTCCTTCTCACAGGCCACCTGCTGATAGGCGGCCACATACTGCTGCAGGTGGCTCGCATACTGGTCTCGCTGCTGCTGCAGACTCTGAGCCTCCTGGCTCTTCAGTTCCACCTACAGGGAGACCCTGGGAGTGAGGGCAGGTGGTGGCTGCTTCCAGCATCTGAGCCCAGGGACTGGGGAGACTGGGCAGAGCCCTCTGCCGCCTGCGCAGGCCCCTGGCTTCCTTGCTCCAGGGCTAAGTGAGCTCCTCCCTTGCCCAGAGCCCCAGGCCTCCTTCACCCAGCCTCATACCTCATAATAACCTTTCTTAATTTTTGACCACAGACTGGTGGAAAAGCAGACAGCGCCACCAACATCTGTTAAGTGCACACTAAGTGCCTAATACTTTACCTGCGTGATCTCATTTAATCCTCAACACACCTCAACATACGAGGAAAACGCTAATCTTCTTTTTAAGTTACGGAAACTGAGGTTTAGAGCTGTGAACAGTGACCAGTGGGGCTGAGGCGAGAATCCAGGGCCGAACCCAAGGAGCTGCCCATCACCTGCCGTCTCTTCCCCTCTGATAAGGGGCTCAATGCCTCTAGCGGGGATGACGACCTACAGTCCAGGGCTCCCCACCCTGAAAAGTCAGAGGGCAGGGGGCAACAAATAGTCACAGGCCCTCAAGGGCTCTGGGTCACCTGTACCCTGAGGCTGGAGCTGCCTCTGTCCTGGCCCCGGCACCTAGCACCTCCCCTCCCCAGAAGCTGGCGCCTGTCTCCTAGCCCTTCTCAGTTGGGGCCAGAGTTACCGTCTCCTTCAGGTCTCCCAGCTTCTCCTGTAGCTGGCCCACCTTCTTGGCCAGCTCGTTCTTGACATGCTGCTCTGAGTGCAGCGCACTGGTAATCTCCATATTATCATTGGTCTGGACAAAAAGAAGCAATCAGTGGCCACCCAATGTAGCTGGAGACCCCAGAACCTGGTGTCCACCTCCCACAGCTCAGGGAAGAGTGGTGGCAGGTAGGGAAAGCATCCCCCGCCCCCTACATTCATCTCAGCAGGGCTCTCTGGCTCACGGGGGCCTTCATGGGCACCTGTTCACGTAAGGTCTGTCCCGCCCCATTCTACAGGTGGAACAACAGAGGCCCAGAGGGGTTATGCATCTTGCCCTGCACCAAAGGCCTTGGCCAGGGAGGGGGGCAGGCTAGCCAGGTAGGGCTGCGCACCAGCCTGACGAAGCCATCCTGCAGCTCGGCCAGCTGCGACTTGAGCTCGCGGTTCTGGGAGAGAGCGCGGCTGATGGTGCTGCGGTCGCCCTCCATGGTCTCCAGAAGCCGCTTATGCTGCTCCACCTGCTCGTCCCATGACTCAGCCGCCCGTTGCAGCTCCAGCAGCCGCAGCTCCTGCTCCTGATTCAGGCGACTCAGGCTTTCGTTGTCCTGGACTTGGGCCTGCAGCTGCCCTGCCAGGCTCTTCACTTCCTTCTGAAGCTGTTCAGCTTCTGCCTGTAGCCGCTGTTCCACCTCAGATGGCCCTGCTGGGGGCTCCTGGGGTGGGGGAACAGCTGAGAAAGGAAGCATACAATAAGGGCCTCTTGCCTCTGGAGTCTCAAAAAAGCCTCTTCTTGGTCCACAGCTCCTAACTCAGCCTCCTCGCCCCAAATCTTGGCTTCCTGGCTAATAATTCCTCACGCTCATATGATGTTCAATCTGTCAAGACACTTTCAAATTGAGTTCTTTACATTTTTATGCTCAAGACAATTCTGGGTGGTTAACAGTGGGCACTCCACCCCCTTTTTGCAGATGGGGACACTGAGGCTCAAAGAGATTGCAAGACTTGCCAACTCCTGGGAAAGATCCCTGTCCCTTGGCCACAACTCCCTTCCATCCACCCACTTCCCTGGAGTATTCAAAGCCACCTTCACCAGCCCCCCGACACCAATCCTGCTGCCGGATCACTCCAGGCCCAGCTCACCTATCTGGTTCCTCAGTTCGGCCAAGCTGGTCTCCAGCACCTGCACCTGACTCATGCTGCACTCCTTCTCCTCCCTCAACTCGAACAGCTGCCCAAAGCACAGGGGGAGGAGCATACGGAGGGAAGGGATGAAGGAATGGCCAGGCGACCATCTCCCTCTACCCCCGCCTACAAAAAACACACAGCCACCTCTGGCTGCACACAGCAGGTGATGATTCCCATTTTACAGATGCCCAGAAAGATCAAGTGACCTGTCTAAGGTGAGAGGCTAAAGGTCACATCTCACCTTCTCTGACATCTGCTTCATCTTCTCCTGCCAAAAGGCATTCTGTTCTTTCAGATTCACCACATAGTGGTCTCTCTCCACTTGCAGTTGCTTTAGCAAATACTTCAGCTGCAAGAATGGGGGCTGAAGTTAGCAGGTGCTGTCACTGGGCCTCACCTGCTGCTGGTCACCTGGGGTCATCCTCCTTCCACACCCCTCCCTCTGCAAAGCCTTACCTCCTCCACTTGTCTCTGCAGCTGTGCCTGCTCTTCCAGGGCCTGCTGTAACTGCTGGTTGCTATCACGGGGTTCAGATGGACTAGAAAACTGGGTGATGAAAAGTGAGGAGGTTAGATCTGGGGAGCCCAGGCTGTTCCATACAATCCCCCGACCAAAAAGGTGTGCTAGGGTCAATGTACAACTTAGGGTCAATAAAAATTTCTATCCTCATATTATTAATACCATATCCTTAGGCTTTATTTTTACTAAATACTCATTGTAAACAATTCAAATAAGTGTGCAAACTCCTCCCAACCTTTCCTCTAGCTCCCCAATCCCACCAATCTGGTCTGTATAATTCCAGACCCTTTTCTGTACACATGCAAACATATTTCATTAATGCACATCACAGCTGTGTTGTCTTGGAGTGGTGTCATATATGGTTCTGCAACTTATTTTCACTTTGCTGCGTACAAGATATATTTAATTTTTCTAACAGTTGTATAGTAGTCCAACATATGCCTATTGCATACTTTAACCAGACCCTTACTGATGGCCTTTTAGATGCTATATTGAATAAGGCTACACACTGCTGGTGCTGGAAATGGGGCAGCTGGGTCACCAAGTATGGGCAGCCATCTGAACTTCATAGCAACCGTAAGCTCTAACTTTTTCTATCTCTAGTAGGCCATTTATTAGACTGCCTATCACAGGAATGGGCACAAAGGAGGCATTCAATTCATTCTTCTGACTGCATGGGTGGATGGATGGAAGGAGCGCAGAGGAGAGCTCTCTGTTTACTGCCCAGACCAGAGCAAATGTGGAGACTCATGTTGTGCTCTGGGGGCCTGACCAAGAGAGGAGCCCTGACAAATCAGGTCACATCCTGGAGACAGCAGTCAGGAGGGTGACAGACTGCATGAGAAACAGCTGAAGGAGCTTAGACACTTTAGCACAGAGAAGATCTTAGAAAGGACAGGGGAGCCATATACCCCTCTTCCCTTTTCAAAGCAGAGATTCGACTTTTCCCATGTTGTTCTGGAGGGAAGCCAGACCCCAGTGGAAGGAACTTACAGGAAGGCAGAGTATTGCTCAGTGTGGGGAACTGGAGAGCAGGAGCCCTCTGACCTGGGCACCCTGACTACCTAGTGGCTTGGCCCCCGAGAGGCAGTAAACAGATTCATGGGCTGGCCTTATAACTGTCATCTATAAAACAATGGTTTTCAACCAGGATGCTTTAAAAAATAAAAATTAAAAAGGCCTATCCCTGAGATTCTGATTCCATATGTCTGGGCAGGGCCCCAATTTGTAGGTTTTTATCAATCTCTGGAGGATTCTGTGGCAGGACCATAACAAGGATCCAACTCCTGGCTGGAGGCCACCCACGATGACTCCTAAAAACCTTGGCCCCAGTTGGAGGGGGCCCGGGCTCCCTGGGGCTCCAGCCCCTCACTTGTTGCAGTAGGAGCTCTGACATCTCCAGTTTCTTGCGGAGCTCCTCCACCTCGAGCTGCATGGAGTCCTTCTTTGTCAACAAGACCAGAAGCTTCTCCTCCAATTCTGAGTTCTGCTGCTTCAGGTCCTCATTGTTTTTGCTATGACGGGAGGCAGTGGAGAAAGGCATGAATAAAGAGGAGAAAGGAACCCTTTGGTGATCAACCCACCCCCCTCACCACAGAACCACAGTGGCATTGGAAGGGACCCCAGGATTAATAGTCACAAGTGGCAGGCCAGAGAGAGGACATGTGGCCTGAGACTCTGTCACCATGCCCGCTTGTACCCTCCCACTTCCTAGCACGTCACCCGCCCAAGGTCCCCCAGCCCTCCTCCACCCTCCCATCCTACTTGTTCTTGTATAACTCCAGCTTGAGGGCATCTCGCTCTTTGGTTAAATCCTTGTTGTACTGCAAATACAGAAAGGCAAGGTCAGGATTGGGCAGGCAGAAGATGCAGCTGGCAGACTAAGCAGCAACAGTAACTACTCCATGGCAACACCTCCTCACCCTGAGGTAGACTTTGTATTTTTCCAAAGCAGTTCCAAGCCCATGTTCTCATTTGTTTTTAATAAGAACTCAGGAAGGGTGGAAGAGGCAGGTAAAGAGTTCTAATTCACGGCTGGCTAACGGAGGCCCAGAGTCAGCAGCTCATACTGCTTCATTATCACTATCAGCAGCATCACCACTTCTGAACCTTGACTGAGCGCTTTACCAGGCACCGTGTGAATGATCCCACTTCCTCCTCACGATCACCAAACGAGGCAGGACGACCATCTCCAATCACAGGCAAAAAACCTGCATATTAGAGGTTAAGTCGCTTGCCTACAATCACTTAGAGCTGGGGCTGAACATCCAGGTCTGTCTGATTCTTGAACCAGACTTTCTCCCCAGGGTGGGAGTGCAGATATGAGGGGGGAAATTAAACTTGTAATCTTTTGTTCATTTTTTGAATGGAAGATACATCCACACAGTCCAAAACTCAGACGGTAGAGAAGTGGCATGTCTCCCAGCCACCCTGTTCCTCTCCCCAGGGCGTTTATGAGTCTTTTCAGACACACCTTGTATCTCTCTCTCTCTCACACACACACATGCACACTTCTCCCCTTTCTACACACATGGTGACATACTAAAAATCCTGTTCTGCACCTTCACAGCCCAAACACCTAGCACTTGGCCAAGGCCCACAGCCAGTTAAGAGCAGGCTGGCCCTCAGGCTCTGGGCTCTGCATCCAGTGCTCACTCTAGACAGCACCCCCAGCCCCGACTCATCCATGGCAACCAACGCATCCTCGGGTTACTTCTAACAACCACACAACTTGAAAGCATCGAGAAATGGCCTGTGCGGCCTTCTGGGCAGCAAGACACTCCATCCTGCAGAAGGGACCTTCAGGCTCACTCCCCGACACCTCCAGTAGATGGGCAGGCACTGGGCTCACCTTGTCGGCCTGTTTCTGCTGCATGGACACAGCAGATAGTGTCCGCTCTAGCTCCCCTATACGCTGCCGGGAAGACTGCAGACGACTAGCAAGATCCTCCAACTCTCCTGGAATGACAGAGTTAAAGATGGACCCCAAAGAAGAAATCCCACTGCAGGCCTGCCGATGTGCCAGGCTGAGGATGAAAGGGCATCCAGATTCCCACCTGCTTTCTGTCTCGCTGCTTGTTGAGTATGAGTCAGGGCGGTATGTAAATCTGACTTCTCAGACACTAGAATCCCTATGGTCTGAATGTGAACCTTTGGGAGAAAAGCCAAACGCATGCTGAAAAGGAGGAAAAGCAATGTTCCCTAGGGGCCACAGGGGACAGCATACAGTCCACTCACCTGCAGCTGCTCTCTTAGAGCTCCTTGCTCCTTCGCAAGCTTTTGCTTAAATTCGTTCTTCTCCTGCAGGAAAAGAAACATCTCTTACTAGGAGGAGGTGGAGATGAAACAGCAAAGGACATGCCCCCAGAATGCCACCAATGCCACCAAATTATGGTGTGGGGGGGGGGGGGGGCGGGGGGAGCTCTATTTCTCCAGGCTGGGAGCAGGCAAGACAAGGCCTCAACCTCTGAGTCCTCCCCCAAACCCAGCAGCCACGTAACGGACAAAGAAATCACATTACTTTCTCTAGTTGATCCAAAATGTCCTGGTTCTGCTGTTTCTGTGGAAAGAGTCAAAGGAAGGTGACTGAGGTTGGCCCCCCTTTCCTATGCTCCCCAGACCAAGAAGGAGGGATGGGCAGGTGCCAGGAGTGGGTTTTAAAGGGAGAGTTCACGGGGACATGAACTGACAAACTCTCCTTAAGTTCCCGAGCAAAGTGACTGCATCTTAGGTGGTTTTGTCATGGCTACAGAAGTGAGAGTCTGAATCCAGACTCCCTTGAAAGGACAATGACACAAGCCTCTAGAAGTGGACTTTGAGAAGGGAAAGACTCCCCTTCTTCTGTTTGGGATTTGGAAGGGTGCATTCAACAAAAATTTACTGAGCACTTACTACAGACCAAGTTCTGTCCTTAGCAGCAGGGATATAGAAATGAAAAGGGCCTTTTGAGCTGGAGAGGACCTTGGATACCCTCTAATTCTACCTCCTCAGGAAACTGAAGCCCAGGGAGAAGTGACTCGTCCAAGGTCAAAGACAGAGCAAATTAGGGGCTGAGTCAGGCCTGGAACACACCAGTCACGCTAGTGCTTCCCTTAGAGGCCACAGACCCAGGGCAAGTGTGGAGAGGACTCAAGCAGGGGTGTCTGGAGAACAGAGTAGGCAAAGAGGACAGCCATAGAAACAGCCATGCTGCATGCTCCGTGCTCTGGGGTCCCTCCACCTGACACCTAGGCCCCCCAACCCCATTCTCCCTTGGCACCAGGGGCCCCCAGCTCCTTTCTTAGGGCCCCAAGGGGAAACTGGAGCCCAGGATTGGCAGCATAGAATCAGGGGACCCCACTGGACTCTTACCAATTCCTCTATCTTGCTACTGAGTTGTTTGTTTGTTAGATTGCTGGAGTCCAGGGCTACTGATAGCTCTTGGTACCGGCTCTGAGGCGCATGCAGAGAGGAGGAGTTGGAGGAAGGGTGGGGGAGAGGTAGAGAGAGCAATCATTAGGGTTGGGGGGTGTCTGGGCTGTCTCAGCTGGCAGCGGGGCACCCAGCCCCGGCTGTGAGAGGAGGTAGGGGGCTGGCCTGCAGGGTCACTGGGCCATAGTCCAGGGCCACTTACCTCCAGATTCTTTATATTAGCAGAAGATGCTAGGCCCTCCCCATTGACGTATGATGTAGACTAGGAGAGATCAAAGAGCTCACATGGAGATGCTCTCTGGCTCTCTCAATGCCTAAGCCCTCTAACTTCCTGTCTGCCCCATCAACTGGCAAAATTTTATTTGCTGCCTAACTTGGCCCCCTCCTCCCATAACCCCTTTGAGTCAACTTCCTATGGTTCTCATCTCCCCCTCATCCCTCCTCTCCCAAGCACCTCTCTTCCTGTGCTTTCTGCAGTAGGATGAACGGATGCAACGCATCTCGTAGTCCAACCCCTTCATTTGCACAGCTTCAAAGAGGAGACTCGGAAATAATGACTAGCTAAACATTGCCCAGCTGACTCAGCTGGTCCCAGGATCTTCCCTCCCTTTTGGTAATCTCTGCCTCAGTTTCTTTCTATCATCTTTTCCTTTCCCCTCTCCCCCCTGCTCTGGGCTACAAATTCTGGGGTACCTCGTTCACAAGACCGTTGAGCTGCTGAGAAAGCTGGCGCAGGCTCTCGGTAGATGAAAGGGATCTAGGGATGAGCACAGGGGTCAGGGCTGCAGGAGGCTAGAGGGGAAGGGGGGCATGGGCAGCAGCCTGTCCCAACTCCCTCAGCCTAGGGACTGCTGCCCCCATCAGAGACACTCACATGCTTTCATCCATGGGACTAGGACCATTTTCAGCATCATGGCTCTGTTTGGGAAAAAAACACATGAGGTAGTCACTCAATTTCCGTTTAGAAGACAGAAATCTTCCAGGGGTGGGGTGAGCCAAGCGCATTCCGATAACCTTCCATCTTCCCAAACCTCAAAGAAAACCTGGTCTTGGCCTCCCCCATTCCAGCCCTCGGGAAGGGCACCTGGCTCTAGGAACCAAGCTGCCTGAAGAAAGGGGAAGAGACTCCACAGGAGATACGATCCTCTGGGAAGGAGGAGGGGACGAACATACAGTGGGGCAGCGGGGAAAGGCACAAACCTGAACTGATGCCATGCTAGTGACATGGGGGTGACTAGCACTGGGGGAAGGGACACCATCAGGTGACACGGTGTCAACAGCAGGTGCTGAGGCAGCAGTGGCGCGGTCTTTGGGCGCCTGTCACAGAACAGAGCAGGCGGTTAGGGTGCCATGCAGGAAAGAAGGCAACTCAACGCTATGGATACAGGGGTGCAGAGCGGGTAGGACAGGTGTTGCTGCAGTCAGAGTGACAGTCACACATGCTGGGAGCTACCCTGGGGTATGGCTATCGCTCGTCCACGTTTCAGGCTGCTCTGCAGCCTTCTGGGCAGCCAAAGCCTAAAGTAGGGATGGCACAACCTCCTTCGTGAACACATGATGGCCTTGTTCTCCCCGGAGCTCAGCAAATGACCAGACCAGGCTCTGACCTGTGGCAGCCACAGCAGGTGGAAAGAGGTGTGCCAAGTTAGGGAGAAGGAAGGCACTGCTCTTGCAGAAAGCCAATCTGTGCCTCTGAGCGACCCTCACCCTGGGCCTCTGCTGGGCAGAGGCTGGTGCTAATGAAGAAGCTAACTGCCTCTTTCCTTTCTGGCTCTGATTTCCTCCCTTCCCTCCTCCCCTCAACCGCTGGCTGTGTTTGCCCAATTCAGATATTCAGGCCTTTTCTGGGAAAGAGGCAGCCCAGCTAGAAGCCTCTCCCTGCTCCCGGAGGTACCCCCCACCCCCAACCTCCTCACTCCAAAACACCTACCCAACCAAGAAACCGAGAAACCAGAGGTAAGATGTCTGCCCTTTGACTCTTAACATCCTAGACAACAATCCTGGGACTGAGGACCAGGAGCCATAAAGAAGCTGTTCCTTCTTCCCCAACTGGACCCACTGGCTTGACCAGAGCCCCATCCAGCCTCTTTCCAGGCTCAGATCTGACAGCTACTTGAGGCCTCTGGCTCTGGAGATCTAATGTCCAACAGGCCAGATGGGCAGAGATGGGGAAGATGGCTGACAGGCTAAAGTTTAATGAGCAAAGAGCACCAGGGAGCCAAGGCCAGCCAGCAAGGCTGGGTCAGGGAGGAAGAGGCTGCACTTCTCCTGGGGGAAAGGGCCACCTGCTCTCTGGACCCCTCAGCCCTGCCCTCTGAAAACCCAAATGTACTGCCCTCCTTAGAGCAAGTGCTGGCAGAGCCTGAGAAGCTGAGGACTCAAGCTGTTTGCACGTTTACCGTCCACATTGTGACCACCTTTGGCCCTAGAACCTGGTGTTGCCTTACCAACCTGTACAACTGAATCTAACAGGGAAGAGCAGGGGTTCAGCAGTAGGCCAGGCATGAGACTCTGGGGGAGGTGGGCACACTCATAGCCCTGGGCCCTGGCAAGCCCGGTCCCTCCCAGCATCTTGGGTGCCCACTGATCTCTAGAATTAGAGGTATTAAATATAGAAAACATGACTATTTTGTGAGCAATCAAGTTATTTCATCATTTTAAGCCTTGTAGGTAAGTGTGGACTTCTAAGAAAACATTGTCCACTCCCCTCAAATGTCCCATTCCATTAAAAATTGGTGTATTTCTCCAACATTCCCCATTTCTGGAAATGCTTTCAGTGCTGCCCAGGCTCCTGTAATCCCAGGCGTGCCGTACTGAGTAGAAAACTTAAGTGAGAAACAGTTATTGACAGAGAGAGGATTTAAAAATAACAAGAAGGGACTATGAGGATCTGGGTCTTCATTTCCAGGAGAAGAGAGGGATGTGGGCACAGAATCTTCGAACATGAGTGCACACACATGGCTTCAGGACTCCTCTACGCCTGGGCTCCCCTTATGTGCCACTCAGTGTCTCCTCTGAGTCGACAAGATGAGTTACCATACCTGGACAGACCTGATCAACTGGGCGTGAGCAGTCCCGATGATTCAAACTCTCCAACAGCAGCCAACAGGGCCCTGTCCCAGCCCCTCTCCCCACGCCCATCTCCAACAGGAGCTGGCCCTGTTTCAGCCCTACTCCTCTGGCCTGGCAGATCTCCCTCGAGGAAGCTAACTGAGGAGGAAGTGCCAACATCATGTCCAGAGGAGGTCATCTCCCAGCCAGTGCACCCCAAACACCAGCCCTTCTGGAAGGTGCTCTGTGAGCTCATAATCCTGGCTGTTACCTGTACTATGCACTCTGCCAGGGACTCCCATTTCCCCCACACTCGGTATGGATGAATGTCACCCACCTCTAATCTTCAAACTGGCCTCAAATGCCACCCCCTCCAGCCTCAAGTCCATTTAGTACCAACCTCTGCCTCAGTTTAGCATCTGCAACAGTGCCACCTTCTACCCTGCTTCTTTCAGCAGCGCCTGCCTGCCTCAGGGTGCATTCTAGCTGGTTTACCTACTTTCTCCAGCACCTGGCAGTGTCTCTGCTATCAAGGGCCCACTGAATACGGTTAAGTGTCTGGTCGATTTTTACAAGACGAACGGGGCAGAATGTCCTGGTCACTCATCTGTTTGGCTAACCTCACATCCTTTACAGGTAGTTCCCCTGAAAAAATAACCTCAATCCTTGTAACTATAATACAAACTCCCTTTCTCTTAACTCTACATTCCCTACTTTCAAACCAAAATGAATTAATCAACTCAAAAAATCACAAACTGCACTGTAGTCTACTGGTCTTTCGGGGACAGATGCCCAAAGGGCAAGACAGTTTGGTTTTATTTAATCTCTCCAAGTCTGACAGCACCACTGGGCATTCAAACTTGAGGCTCAAAAAGCCCAAATGCAGGACCGGCCCCATGGCTGAGTGGTTAAGTTCGTGCCTTTTGCTTCAGTGGCCCAGGGTTTCACTTGTTCGGATCCTGGGCGCAGACATGGCACCGTTCATCAAGCCATACTGAGGCGGCATCCCACATAACACAACCAGAAGGACCTACAGCTAGAATGTACAACTATGTACCGGGGGGCCTTCGGGAGAAGAAGAAAAACAAAAAACAAAAAAAAGAAGATTGGCAACAGATGTTAGCTCAGGTGCCAATCTTTAAAATTAAAAAAGCCCACATGCCACACACCTGCTCTGGAAGCTATTCCCAAATACCTTTACCCTTCAAGGTGCATCTCACCTTCTCCAAGACAATAAAAGATGTGGGGGAAGGAAAAAAACCCCAACCAACCAAGCAGGTGAAAAAGCAGACGTGAACAGGCCAAGGGTTAATGACAGCAACATAAAATAAGCCAGAGGCAAATGATCCCCCAAAGCAGAGAAGCCGAGGGGCATGCAGAGCTGGGAGGGAGCAAGCCAGAGAGGGGGCTCGGCACTGCCTCACCTTCCAATTGTCCAATGAGGGGAGTGCTACCCCATTGGAGCGGTTAAGGTCAGACACCAGCACCTTCAGAATGTCCTGAATCTATAGGAGGTGAAAAGGGAAAAACAAGGGCAGGGGGAGAAAGAGAAAAGTGGCTTAGTGAGAGGCAAGAGAGTCAAGGAAGGAAGAAGAGACGGTTCAGGGCAATGGAACGCTGGAGAAGAGAGAAGGGGATCAATACCAAAGCCTGTGCCATCTTTCCAAACAGCCACTTGCTGCCTTGCCAGAGGCAGAAATCAACATAAACAAATAGATGGAAAAGTCCCCTGAAAGATGCCGTCACATAGAGTGGAGTCGCCTGACCACTGCAGCTCTTAATACATCCATGAGATACTCTCCTCAGGCCCTGGATGCTAGGAGTCTGAAAAAGCTCCAGACCCCCATCTCCATTTTAAAAACCAAACTTCCAAGTAAGGGGTCGCTTGAACAAAGGGGGCTACAGCTAAAAAATAAGTTTGAAAGACAGTGATCTGATCCAACAATATCATCTTAAGATGAGGAAACTGAGGCCCGGGGAGGAAGTGATTTTCCTGAGGTCATCCACCAAGCTGGTGGCAAAGATGGACTAGCAACTCAGATCAGCTCCTAATCCAAGTGTCTGGGGCTCTACTCATCACAGCCTGGGACTCTCTTGGTGCTTCCTAAAGGGAGAGAACATGAGAAGTGGCTGCTCTCACAGCCTGGCTTCCCCCTGAGGCTGGGGATGAGAAAATCATCAGAGCAGCAAGTGAAATAGCAACCACCCTTTATTGAATGTTTACTTCGAACCAGGCCCTGGACTAAGGGACTAATATAAAAACATCAACAATCCCACCTAAACATCCTAAGTGTAAGTAAGACAATATTACCCCGATTTTGCCAATGTGGAAAGAGAGACCCAAAAGAGTTTAAGCGATTTGCCCCAAATCATATCCCTAGCAGAGGGAGAGGGAAGATTCAAACCAGTACCTGATACTTCTTCCACAGTCTTAACCACTACCCTTTACTGCCCCGTGAGCATCCCTGTCCCTGGATGCCTGGCCAGCTAAGACTCACATCCTCAGGAGAGTGACAACCATCAGAAGTGGTTATCTCAGAGCTACTGCCATTTTTAATCTTCTTTTTCTTCTTTTCGAAAGGACCAAGGTTGTTCTTCTGCTGATATTCCTTCAACTGCAGAAAGGAAAAGCAGGGGGACTCATGAGAACTATGAGCCCCTGTATTCACATCCTATTTTACAGTTTACAAAATACACTTATACTCATCATCTGATTTAATGCCACCAATGACCCTACAAGGTGTTGTAATTCTCACTTAACTGAAGAAATGGACTGATAACATGGCTTAAAAAAAAAAAAAAAAGGCAATAATGGAACTTAAACTCAGTCTTCTGATTCCGAGTTCTGGGGTTATGCCGGAATCAGCAGCTGCCAGGGGCCAAAACCAGGGGCCTGGCCAGCTAAGACTCACATCCTCAGGAGAGTGACAACCATCAGAAGTGGTTATCTCAGAGCTACTGCCATTTTTAATCTTCGTTTTCTTCTTTGCGAAAGGACCAAGGTGGTTCTTCTTCTGATATTCCCTCAACTGCAGAAAGGAAAAGCAGGGGGACTCATGAGAACTATGAGCCCCTGTATTCACATCCTATTTTACAGTCTACAAAATACACTTATACTCATCATCTGATTTAATGCCACCAATGACCCTACAAGGTGTTGTAATTCTCACTTAACTGAAGAAATGGACTGATAACATGGCTTAAAAAAAAAAAAAAGGCAATAATGGAACTTAAACTCAGTCTTCTGATTCCGAGTTCTGGGGTTATGCCTGAATCAGCAGCTGCCAGAGGCCAAAACCAGAGGCAGAGGTGGAGAAGTAAACATTTCAGTGATCAGAAATCAGATCCTTTCTTATGTCTATCAGAGCTGCACATGACTACTTCTCAAACTTTTACCTCAATGTATCCTAATGGCAGAAGGCAGAGAAGGCACACTTCTAGCAAATCTGGGAACGTAACAGAAAGAGGACAACCCAAGCACTATTTCAGAGAGAAGTCTATCATAATCTTACAAATACATGCAAATGTCACCCCTAAGTACATTTATATAAAAGGCTTTTTCTCTCTTAAGAGAATCAAGCAAAATTGCTGCTTCAGTCTCATATTTATCCTGTGGCACCCAGAGCACCCCGTGTTCAGATGATTTGGGGAAGACTCCCAGCTGTAAAGTTCAGTTTCCTGGGATCTGTTCCACAGAGGATAAGCAGACCTCACTCCAACACTGACTGAGGGGCACTCTGGTCCCAGAATCATAGGGAATTAGAACGGGAGGTAGAGAATTCAGATTAAAAATTTGAAAGTGTCTCTGGAGAGTAGAAACCTGGGAGAAAACCAAACTAAATGTTCTCCCCATTGTCACCCAGAGATGTTGTCAAGGTTTCGAGATCACTGGTGAAATGTAGGCTTTTTACACCGTCTGTGACAAAGGATGGGGTACAGTTTACAGTCAGGGAGCCTGAAACCTCTCTGACCTAGGTCCCATAGTCCCAAGTCCCCTTCAAGCTGGAAATTTGTGTCGCGACCAGAGAAACTGTTAAGGAAAACTATGAAAACACTAAGGGATGGGTCCTAAGATCAAACACCGGGCTCGCGGCGGTAACTATAGCGACGAGGGGGATTGTGACTTCACTACATTCCACTCCTCCCTCCTCCCCTCCCCCCGCCCCCACCGCCGCCCGAGTCGCCACTCCGCGGTGGGGGAGGAAAGCGCAGGGCTGGGACCGAGGTCCTTGGAGACCGGGAGCTCAGGGGCCCGGGGAACCCAGGAGGTCTGATTCTGGGCGGCAGGAGGCGAGAGCTGAACCTGGAGCGGGGAGCCCCGGGAGTTACTGGCCCAAAGTCACCCAGGGGCGACGCGCGAGGGCGGGGGCTGGGCTGCCAGGGGGCGGGACTGGCTAAAAAGACTTTGGGGGGACGCCAAGGGGCGCCGAGGGGCTCGCTCCGTGTGCCTCAGGGGCAGCACAGACTCTGGCCACAGCCCGGCTGTCGGAGAGGCCTCGGGCTGGGTCAGGGAGCCGCGACCCCGCACGTTTTACCTTTTTTTTGGCCGCGGCCAATTTCATCTGTCGGGTTTCTTCCGACATCTCGGGACAGGGAGGGTAAGGGCGGGGCCACATCAGCGCCATCCCGGCAACCACTGCGGAATAACTTCCGGCAGTCACCGCGCAGCCGTGCGACTGAGCCAAAGAAGGCGGGACGAGGCCTTTTATAGGCAGCGGTGTGGGCGTGGCCTCAGCGCTTACATCCCATTGGTCCGTGGGAAAAATTAACGGAAAGGGGGCGTGGCCAGGCTGCCGTAGGCAGGGAGGACGGGTGAAGTCACAATGAAAGCTGCGCGCGCAGCCGCTGTCTCCGCCCACCTCGGGGGGAAGGGCGGGGCCTGATCTCGCAGGGTGCGCGCGCAGCTCGCCGTTTGACCGTTCCCGGTCTCGGTCGCGGGACTCCAGTTACCTGGCGAACCTGAGAGGCCACTGTCCTGCCCTCGCCCTGGACCCTTCACCGCTGCAGACCCCCCCAAGACGGGGACCCCGGACCCCAGGCCTCAGGAGGTGGGCCAGGAGCGGACAGCAGGGGGAAAGCGCATCCTTTCACAGTCCCTTTCCTGACTCCCCCATAGCTCTGTCCCAGGCTTTCTCATCCCAGAGATCACCTCCAGAGACCCCCGTCCAGTCCTCCACACACTCCCCACTATCAGAATCTCCCCTCCCTCGAGGATCCCTACCCTGACCCCGGGAGCAATTTGCTCCCCTTCCAACTGGATCCAGTCCCGGTCGCTCCTACTTACCACATGCTCCTCCTCCCGTACCCCCGCAGTCCCCCTTTCCTCCCAGAGCGGACTCTAGGTCCCATCGGCTTTTCTTCTCTCGGATTCCTCTCCAGGACTCAACCAGGACTTTCCAAAAGTTGCCGCGGAGCCTTCCGATCTCCTGTGAGTATGCCTGTGCTCCGCCCCCGTTGCCCTCCACCGTGTTAGGCACTGCTGCTCCCAAGCCCTCCTCCCCATCCCCAAGGGCAGCTGGCCCAGGCCCACCGCCAGCCGTCTTCAAGGTCTTCTCCCAGGAGACCTTATTCTGCTGAGCCACTCCAGGTCGTTTCTCAGTCCTTCCTCATCTTTTTCATCTGCCCACCAGGCTTCACAGAAGAAGCAGTGTCCCGTCCTTTGTCATTGGTACCCCAGGCTCTAAGTGGGCTCTGTCTCTCCTGCCTGACCACACCACAAGTGGTTGGTTTTGTTCTTTTTCACACTCTTATGCCTTCCCTCACCCATTCCACCCACACAGAAGCCACTCTCCTTCCCTCAAACACATGTGCTCTCTCCGGGCTTAGGGCTTTTAGAGATACTGTTCCCCATCTGGAATACTTTCGTCCAGCTTTTTGCCCAGCTGATGCCAGCTCATCCTTTAGAGTTGGGCTTCCTCAGAGGAACTTCACCCCCACCCCTGGCTCTGCCCAGTTCTGTTAGACAGTCTCTTAGCTCTCTGTACTTCAGTGTCAAAGCATTTTTCAGACTTGTCATTAGTTGATTAATCTGTCATTCACTCATTCGTTTGACCAATTTTCCTGAGTCCCAGCTATGTGCCAGGTATTGCTGTAGACACAGTGCCATCAGCAGTGAACAAAACAACATCCCTGCCCTCATGGAATTTACATGCCACAATGAAAATAATAATAATAATAATAATAATGAAATGCATATTATGCCAGGTGGAGGTAGATGTTAGAGAACTGCAGGTCAGAGGGATGGTGAGTGATTGAGGAGTGACCATTGAGATGGGTGGTCAAGGCAGGCCTTTCTGATGGAGTGTGACCTGTGAGTAGAGCTTGAAATGGAATTATCTAGAGGAAGAGCATAATTGTTGGGTGTTTCATTTTTGGGACTAGGCTTCTTTCCCTGGAGGCGCGGGGGACAGACTTGATGTCTGATGCATTGCTGAACCCCAGGAGCCTTTCCCCGTGCCTAGCAGATAGTACTTACTGACTGTTTGTTGACTGACTGGTTGAAAACTCCTGTCCTAAGAATAGGAACCATGTCTTCCTCTCTTCCTTGGTTTCTTCTTGTATCATGTGTAGACAGTCAATCCAACACACATTTCCTGAAGATTGGCAGTGTACCAGGCACCGGCCTTCGCAGCGTTTCCAGGCAGAAAGGGCAAACATAGACTGTAGCCTCAGGGAAGGGTGTTGTTTCCAATGAGATTATAAATCCAGTGACATCATAGACTTGAGAAGAGAATTCAAGAAGTAGACCTGAATCAGATTCTCTGGGGTCAGATTGGGGACCAGGATGGACCCTTTAGTTAGGATTGAGTTTGGCTGGGAGTGAGAGAAAACCCCAAATAATGGTGGCTTGAGCAGTCATCAGGGACCCAGGCCTCTAACTTGTTCCACCACATCTTCAACCTGGCTTCTACCTCATCTTCCAAGATAGCTGTTTGGCTCCAGCATTGCTTCTGTGTTCCAGGAGACAGGAAGGAGGAAGGCCAGGGAAAGGCATATCCTATCCCTGGAAGGACAATTCCCAGAGTTGCATACACCATTTCTGATTAAGTTCCACTTGCCAGAACTTAGTTTTAGGGCTATATTTAATTCCAAGGAAAGCTGGGAAATGTAGTCATATTGGGAGGTAGGGGTGTCTATTACCAAACAGAAGCAAGGAGGAGATATTGGGAGAAAACTTGTAGGTTCTAAATTGTGGATAATTGATCAGTCTGGCTAATGACTTTTTGTGCCACTCAGCGGCCATCTCCCAAGTCTGACCTGGCTGATGGGACCAGCGAGGATTCTCTGCACCTTGACATTCAGAAACTGAAGGAGAAGAGGGACATGCTGGACAAGGAGATCTCCCAATTACTATCTGAGTAAGTTCCTCGTTGGGTTCCTCAGCATGCTTAAGATAACTTTTAACTAGTGCCTAGTAACTGAAACTCAGTTGCTGTTGGATTTCGGGTGTCTTCAGCAGCCTGTCTCAGGTAGGGTGTGGTCAAGCTCAGGAGGACCAGGAACTGGGAACTGGAAAGCTGTCAGGAATGGAGGGTATCGCTCTCCCAGCCTCTCTGGGGCCCGTGTTCTCTGCCTCTGCTTCTGCATACACACAGACTTCTTTCTCTCTCTGCAAGGGAGGTTTTTTAGTGCCTAGGGGAAGCTGACTCTTCCACAACTCCTGAGTTTTCTCACGCCCCTTGCTCCAGCCACATGGCACAGACTGAGCAGCCTTTGAATGTGCATTTCACACTCGAGGGGATCTGACTAGCCACTCATGTGAATCCTTCAGCTGTGGCCAGGATCACATAGTACCTGTGTGGCTAGGGACCCTACCCTAAGGGTATGGGGAGCATTTGCCAGGAGTGAGGGGCTGGCCAGATCCCATGCCCTTCTGTAAGCTTCTTGAGGGCAGGGTCTATCTTGTGATCATCATGTCCCCAGTGCCAAGCACCTAGGAACCCTGAGTGAACATTTGCTAAATAGATGCTTCGTTACGCTCTGACCCTTGGATCCTCATCAGCTTTCTTAACCATTCTCTCTCTCTCCATCCCTCATCCCAGAGGCTACAGTGTGGGTGAATTGGAGGACCACATCTCCCAGCTCCACATGTATAATGACATCAAGGATATAGGCCAGATGCTGCTGGGCAAACTAGGTGAGCAGCAGGACTCCGGAGGAGCGGCCGGGGCTTGGAGGGAGGCCCCATCACCCAGGGGTAGTTGGCTTTTGCTCCTGGGCCTTCTAACTTGCCAACCCTCTCGCCTTTCCCAGCTGCCCCACTCCCTGAGTGCCCCTACCCTCCCTGGCTACCTAGCAAAGCAACTGTACAGCTCTTCCCTGAGTCCTAAGTTTTTTTTTCCCTCAAGTGTAGAGCCTGCTTTAAAGCTGCAGGCAGGGGCTGGCCCTGTGGCCAAGTGGTTAAGTTTGCACGCTCCACTTCGGCAGCCTAGGGTTTCGCTGGTTCCAATCCTGGGCGTGGACATGGCACCACTCATCAAGCCATGCTGAGGTGGCATCCCACATGCCACAACTAGAAGGAGCCACAACTAAAAATACACAACTATGTACCACGGGGCTTTGGGAGAAAAAGGAAAAATAAAATCTTTAAAAAAAAAAAAAAGCTGCAGGCAGGTTTGAGCATAGGCTCGCCCACCTGCTAGACTGAGGACTAGGGTTCCCAGCCTTCTGGGGTCTACTCAGACTGATCGAGACACCGTCCTTGCCTCAAGTAGCCGACTTGCTCCGGAGGCAGAAAGTGCAAGGGCAGCTCTGTGCGGTTTAAAGGGGTATTTTGTTCTTCCTTGAACACGGTCTCACTATCCAGAGGGCTTAGCCAAGGCACAGACGCCGGTAGGTACCCCTTGGAGGTAAGGAAATGTGTCATTGGCCTCCATTCCATCCCCTGGCTCCGACTGGTGGCCAATCTCATGTTCAGCAGCCAGTGGCCATTTGGGACAATGTCCAGAGCTGGGACCTCCTGCCTAGTTGCTGCGTGAGTTCTAGTACTTGCAGAGTTACTCATCGGCATCCAGGATTCCACGGCAGGGCGGGCTTCTCTGTGCTTCAGTAGGGCATGTGTCCCAAAGGAGGGAAAGGAGAAAATAGGAGAGAAATATAGATGGATGAAGAGAGGAGGATGATCAGGGCTCAGGAAGAAAGAAATATGAGGAGACTGTAGCCTGGTGGCTAGGGGCATAGCTCTTGTTAGCCAGAACCCAACTTGAGACCTGTCCTTCCAGGTCGTAGGACCTGGAGTGGGCAGCCTCTCCTCTCTGATTTGTTCAGTGAATGTTTACTGAGCACCCACTCAGTGCCACTCTACAGGGTATGAGGACATTTTGGTGATCCAGACACTTGAAAGTCTCTGTTCTCATGTGACTTATGTTTTGGTGTTGAGGTGGGCAGGGGGAATGGTCTGTAAGTAAAGGAGCACAAACAAAGGAATTCTAAAATGTGCTCAGTGCTGTGAAGGAAACAAAGGACAGAGATGGGGAATATTGAGGTATGAACAGGATGGCAGGTGGGGATGAGATAGGTGGTCAGGGAAGGCCTCTGAGGAGAATCCTTCCCATGGGAGGAAAGAAGAGGCTTTGAGGGAGCAGGAGGAAGGACGTCACCAATAGCAAGGGCACAGCACATGGGGCGGGCCCCAGATGGAATGTAAATGTACGTGTACGTTTTCAGCAGATGACTCGACTGTAGCTGCTCTGTGTGGAGAAAGGATTCTAGGGGAGCTTTGTTTGACCTCTCTGCAAAGTAGGGTGGGGGTTCAGCGAGTCTAGTTTGGGGTGGCCAGGCAGGGCCCCCCGTGGAGGGGTCTGGACGGAGTAGCAGGCAGGCTGTCTTGGGCAAGTAGAGGAGCAAGAAGAAGGTTCAGGAGTGAGTCCTGGATAGGTCAGTGCTCTGGCCATTCTCCCCCTCACTTCTCCCACTGGCTGTTCATCCTTCCTTTCAGCTGTGATCCGCGGTGTCACCACCAGAGAGTTGTATCCAGAATTTGGCCTAGACATGAGTGACTGAGCAGAGGCTCACAGCCCTTGTCCACAGCCCACTGGGAGAGACAGAGGTGGACATGAGAAGCAGTGAGAGCCCAGCCAGCACACCTACAGGCTTTCCAGTGAGAAAATGTCAGAAGCTTTTTTCTAGAGAGCCCAGAGAAGAGGGGTGCAGGGAGAAAGGGGTGTTCCCAGCTCCAAGGTTCCTGAAATGTCCCAGTGATACCTCTGTATGTGTATATATATCCTATTTGTAAATAAACATATGAGCAATCTTCTCTTTTTCTTTGCTGAGGGAGATTCTCTCTAAGCTAACATCTGCTACCAATCCTCCTCTTTTTTTTTTCCTTGAGGAAAATTAGCCCTGAGCTAACATCTGTGCCAGTCTTCCTCCACTTTGTACGTGGGACACTGCCACCACATGGCTGGCGAGTGGAGTATATCCACACCTGGGATCCACACCTGCGAACCCAGGCTACCTAAACGGAGCATGCAGAACTTTAACAACTTGGCCACAGGGCCAGGCCCCATATGAGCGATCTTGGTGTGAATCTGTACACTGATTGCTTCTCCTCTGTAGTCCCCTAATCTTACCTGGGGGAGAGAGAGCCTGCCTTGGATTATGACAAGCTTACATGTGCCAGGCACTGTGCTAAGTGCCTTACATCCATGATCTCTAATGCTTAAATCCATCCTATGAGGAATTAGTATTGCTATCCCCATTTTACAGATGAGGAAATTGAGGCTCAGAGAGGCAAAGTGATTTGCCCAAGGTCACACTGCCAGTAAGTGGCCAAGCAGGGATTTGAGCCCTAACTCTGAAGCTTACGGTTTGCAATCCTGCCTTTCTGGGTTGGGGCACAAATGGATAACAGCTAAGAGCAACATTGGGAGGAATTCTTCCCTTGTAAATCAATCGACAGGATGAGAGTTCCAGCCCCCACTTATAATCTGCCAAGCAAGGGTGAGCAGTTGTCATTTCTTCATTGTGTGTTGGTTATCATGAACCTTCATTGGCAGAAGTGAAACTGGAGGTTACAGCTGCTCAGTGCAATCCAGATGGCAGGATTTCACACCAACTTGCTAAGCGTTCTGAGTATCCTAGCTGCCCCTCTGGCCCTGGCCTGGCTGGATATTCTCATAAGATTTCAGATGTGATAGCAGTGATGCGGACATGCTGTCACAAGGTGAAGTCAGTATAGCTTCTAAAAACCAGCCATGCAAATCAGGTGGGGGTCTGAGTTCCAGCTCTGCCCACTTACAAGCTGTGTGACCATGGGCAACTGACTTGGCCTCTGTAAATGGAAATAATAATGGTTCTCTATGCCTTGGGGCAGTTAGCATTACCTGTCTCAACGAGCCACCCCAAAATCCCCATGGCTGAACACGATAAAGGTTTCTTTGTCTCACAAAGTCTGATGAGGGTCTGGCAGCCCTCCTATGTTTCAGAGCCTCACCGCTGGAAGCCACAGCAAGAAAAAAGACACATCAGCTCTAAACTCACTCCCCCCAAATCAGCAGACGTTGCTTGTGCTCACAGACAATTATCCAGAACTAGTCATGCGGCACAAACTGACGGAGGGAGACTAGGAAAGGAGGGTGAGCCCATGGCTATTGGATGGGGACTAGCTGCCACCTGGGTCGTGAGCATCGAGCCCCAGAGGGGGCTTCAGGGATTGGGTGAGCAACCGCACAGGCCTCGACGCCTAGAAACGAGTTGAGCTCCCCTTGAGCCCTCGACAGCAAGCCGTCCTCCTCAGTGAATGGCACGACCTGCTCTTGTCCTGGCTCCCACGGCAGACTTGTTTGCCCTTCTAGATTCACCATGATAGCCTGCCTGCATTCTCATTTGGGGCTTTCCTTGCCATTTCTTAAACTTTCACATTATGATAGCGATAGATTTTCACAACTACCTTATGAGATAGGTTCTGTTATTGTCCTCATTCTGCAGATAAGGAAATAGGGGCTCCGAGAGTAGAAGCAGCTTGTCAAAGTCACACAGTGGCAGAGACAGGACAAGAGCCCAGGCCTGTCTGGCTCCTAATCCCAGCTCCTAACCTGGACCCCACACCACAAGGCCTTGCTCTAGACTCTTACCAGACTGGGTACCCTCTGAGGACAAGACTCAGATTCATCTTGAACGATGCCCTGCCCACCTGCACCTCACACATACGCACTGTTTGCCTGACTGACATGGCTCTGAGCCTGTTTCCTTAGGGCGTGGGTGAGAGCTAGCGACCTGACTAGAGATGGACCCAGGTCTGGAAGGGCCTCCTGAGATTCTCACACTTCTTAGGTCCCGCTCCTGTCACCTCACTGGCCCACTCCCCTCTCACCTTCCTGTGCCACGTCGTATTACAGTGGAGGAGGAAGAAGAGAGGTGAGCGGCCAGGCTCAGAGAGGTGGGAACCCCAGGAGAAGCAACCCCCTTCTATGGGTTTCCCCACCTCACCCCATTTTCTCCACATGGACCGTTGGCTTGTCTTCCTCTGTCCACACAAAAAGTCCCTCAGTGCCAGGAGCCGAGGAGCTGCGGGCTCTGGGTCTGTGCCACACAGTGCTCACCTGCCAGCATGAAGTCGGGGCACTAAGAAGTAAAGACAATGCAGTCTGACAAAAGGCTGTCGTGGGGTCATAGGAGCACATTTTGAGTGGCACCTAGCCCAGCTGGGACACTGAGGAAACTTCCGGAGAGAAGAGACATCGACGCCTGTGCAGTAGAAGGAGTCAGCCAGACAAGAATGTGGGAGAGTTTTCCGGGAGTGGAAACAGCATTTGCAAAAGGCCCAGGGGGAGAGAACTAAGTGGGCCCGGGACCCTCAGGGACTCCACCTGGTTGGAGAGTGGTTAGGAATCGAACCTCTGCCAGACACAATTGTAACCCAACTCTGCATTTAGAGCCAATCTTTTTTAGGGGGAAGATGGGTACAGTTTTTATTTCCTACAACTCACATTTTGTGATTTAAAAAATCCAATAAAGTCATTTAAAGCAGACATGCAGGAAAAATAACAAAGGGAATGCACCCAAATAATAATAATTGCTTATTTAAGATGGTAGAATGCTTGGTGGTTTTTTCTTCCCGCATGTTTCTCTGCAGCATGCAATGTGGTTACACTGTTGGCAGCACAGCAGTTGTGGGACCCACACCGCCAACACAGC